CCCTTAATGCTAACAAAGGTAAGGGCAAGGTGAGTGGGATAGGAGTTTGTGACAGCGCAACGGGCACAGGGGTCGTCTTTAGACATGCTGACCTCGTAGAACCTAGTGAGGTTTACTCTTCTCATGTGAGAATTTTCAGTGCTTGTTACGGTTTTTCTCCTGGTGTCCAGCCTAGTGTTCAGATAAATACACCTCATATGTTGCCCAAGTTCATAAGAGAGTATGTTTCTTTGTGGCCACTTTTGAGAATGATCTTCGCTTTCTTATGCATCCCTTCATCAAGAGTATTTTGCAACACTTCAATGTTTGCCCTACTCAACTCTCCCCTAATTTCTAGGGTGTACTTGTGGGTCTTCTTGTTTTATTTAAGATTCATGGACTCGGGGTCCCCGGCCTTTCCTTGCTTGTGAATCTTTTTAATGTCAAGCTCACCTCATCAGAAGGTTTCTTATATATCTTCAAGTGAACCACGGCTAGACAGATCATTACTTACCTCTCGAACTCCCATAAAGGTTGGAAGAAACAATTCTTTTTCATTGGGGGCACTAACTGGGAATACAACCTGCTGACAGGACTAATACTCTTGGTATCTCTAGACTTTGGTCTGCCCCTGATAACTTAGGTGAACCCTTGCTCAAACTGATTGAGCTCTGATTTGGGAATTGTTGATTCGCCTTTTTGACCTTTGCTCTCCTTGTGTTGTTTTTCAGGCATTCGACCAGAGCTCAGTGCTAAGGACGAGAAGGTAAAGCGAAAGTTGAAAAAGTGTAATCCAGAGAAGTACTCCGAGCTCATCAAGCCCTGGGTCTTAGTAACACAGGGATTCAGTCCTCCTAAGGCATCGGTAGAAGCTCCGCTCTTTATCTCAGTTGTTAGGCCTGAAGACATATAAGATAACACTTTCTGAGTTGGTTCCCTTGTCTTCCCTTCTTTTTTCTCTCTCCTATTTAACTTGTTCGGTTCAGATCTTCTAGACTCCTCCATAATGAAATCTACCCCTGAGGAACTCCAGGCTAAAGTTGACTTACTAAAGAAGAGTAGAAAAAGTGGCAAATAGAAGGCCGATACCAGCTCTGGAGGCAGCCTCGTTGACAGAGCTAAAGTGCAGAAGCTGGGAGTGCCCTCTTCTCCTGCATTGAGCAGGGGAGGACAGACTCCCTCATCTCAATCTCTGACCCCTTCTCCTCTTCAAGGGGCCCAGTTTGCCCCCCGAAAGACTTCCGAGCCAAGGCTGGCTTCCCCCACCTCTTCTGAGGTTTAGGGAGCATTGGGGCTGATTACTAGAATCAAACCAGACTTTACACCCCCTGGACCGCCTGAGCAACCATCTCAATTGTCTCTTCGGAGTCCCAAAGTCGAAAGGAGGGAGGGCCAGGAGACTGATGAAGACTCCTTCGACAATGCTGAGTTGGCTGTTGGGGCCATTTCATTCATTCTCCCTGAATGCGATATTCAGAGGGCCTCTACCATGTCTCCTGAGGCCTCTTCTGCTCAGCTCTCTAGGGAGCAGCCACTGTAAGTATTTTCAAACTCGCTCTTAGTACGGCGCGGTTAAATTGTGCTGATCTATGTCTGTTTTTTGTCCATAGATGGCTCTTCATGTGAAGAACTTGATAGACAGGGTCCGATCTTTGGAGGACTTTGCCAAAGCTTTGAAGACATACGAGTTTAAGGTAGCTGAGCTGATCTTTGACAATGAGAGCCTCAGAGCTCAGGTGCAAAAGCTCGAGGAGCAAATGGAAAAACAGGCCTCTGACTACGAAGGCCTTCAAGCTGCTAAGGATAGGGCTAAGGGAAGAGAGAAGAAGGTCAGGGATGAGCTGAGGATGACCAGGGAAAAGCTGTTACTCAAAATCAATGCCTGGAACAAAGCTAGCTAGGAAGTCTTTGATGCTTAGGGATCCCTCGAGAGCCTTAGGAAGAAGTATGTTATACTGGCTGAGACGAACGAGAGTCCATGCGGTAAGCTCGAGGTGTAGAAGACAGCTGTCAAGGAGAGGAATGACATAATAGTCGAGCTGAAGGATGATGTCACCACCAAGTGGGCCTCAGGATGGCTGGCCTTTCAACGTAAAGCGGAGAAGGCCTACCCAGACCTCAACTTTGACTTTGCCATCCTTACTGAGGAGGAGTTGGAGGAGTCTGATTCAGAGGGCGATGACAGCACCTTGGCTCCTGTTGCCTCTGATTGGGCTCTGGAAGGTACTAAAATGTCCACTCCTCTAGCTGTTCCTACTAATACGTCCTTTTTTGCTGATCTGATAATGAGAGCTCTGCCTGAGATTGAGGCCTCATCCTCCTCACCTATTCTTGGCTCTTCTGAAATTTCAACTGCTGCCTTGCCAGAAGGGTTGTCTGGTGAGCTACCGAGCTCTGCCACTGTTCCTGCTGCTGAGGCTATAGTAACTTCATTGCAGGATCCTCCACATGTTCACTCTTCAGAAGCTTAGGATCTTTTAATTCCTTCTTATTCTTTTTTTTTTTAAGCATTTGTAACTTCTATTGGAGAATGTAAACTTGGCATGCTTTCCTGAGTCGTCTAAATGGTAAACGCACTGATTTTTTCCTCTTTCTCTAATTGCTTTCTAACACAATCTAACTCGCTCTTTTAATACAGTCTATTCCGCTCAATACGATAACACAATCCAACTTGCTCTTCAATGTAGTCTACTCTGCTTTTCTAAAATCTACTCTCATTATTTTGTGGTTAGCTGCTTGCGTACTGCTCTGTACTCTCATTGCCCCCCATTTCTTTGAGGGAAACTGAGTTCCTCTCAAAGCAAAGTTGTTGGAACTGCAAGTCTACTGGCTTCCTGAGCTCTTTTGAGAGAAAAGGAATTGAGATTTGACTTTGGGAGATTATCATGCTTGTATTTGGTCGAAGAGAGTATGCTGCTTGTTTGAATAGTTAGGAGTTGCCTCGGAAGGTCCGTGCAGCCATACAAGCTACACTTAACTCATAAATATCTGAATGTTTGGGACCTCAAAGAGTCTTTCAGGATCGCCGAGCTCTACCATAGACCCGTAGTTAATCTCTCATGTTATATTGCAGCTTATTGCCTTGAACTTCTGCTGGACAATTGAGGACTGTTATTGCTTAAGATGGATGAGGAGTATCAAGGGAATGTTGAGGCTACTTGGTCTAGAGTCTTATGGATGTTAACCTTCTGTTTTTGTACATCTGATTCTTGATCTTTTCTATTTTTGAAAATCTTAAAGTAGAGCCCACCCCAAAGGGAGCATTGGATAGTGGACTTGACATTCCTTACAATGACAAGAGGTTTACTAGATTTGGGAAAGAGAGTAAGCAACTTGATGCTAAGGTCCATTACAATTACATCTTTGGAGGCCATGTTGTACGAACCTCTACCAAGAAGCCCCTGTTTCCATAAAGCTTGTCTATTGTCTTATTTTTGCTAAATTACATAACTGCTTATGTTCCTCTTTCCCCGTCTTTCCTCCCTCTTGAGGCAACGGGGTTCAGAGCTACCATGCATACCCCTGACTGAGCTCCTAATTCCCCGGAGCTTAAAAACCCTTGGTGCAGACCTCCTAGAACTCCATTAGGGTCAGTAGAGCTTACTGACCCCCTGAAAATCTGGTTTCATTCTTGGAAGGTCTGTCCTTGTTGCTGGGTGTAAAGACTAGGGTGTGGTTGCTTCTAGTGCATCTGCTAGCTTTACTGGGTATATGGTCCTAGCAGCTGCTTATGCTCATGAAGCCTTGTTGTGCCTTAGAAATAAAGTTCCCCTTTTAGTCAATCCAAAGAAGTCTGAGAAGTCTCTTTTGGGATGTGATCCAACTATTTAAATTATTGAACCCCGTCATAACCGAGGAAAGAATCCGACCTCCTAGGCTTATCCAAGGTTGTATCAAGCCTTCCTTGGTTATTTAATGGCTCATGACTGGTAACATTTGTCATTAACTCTTCCTTTATTGTCCATATTTTATTGCCTTCTTTAAACATATCTGTTGCCTTAATTTGGAAACTCAAAGGTCCGCAGCCTTTGGGTTCGGCTTGCTTCTTGATTCTTTTATATCTTGACTTCTTGATTCCGTGGATATTCATCCCCTTCGAAATCTTTTCACCTTTGTGATCTTCTTCTCACGTCTCCCCTTTGCCTTCCTACAACTCCAATGGCTGCCCCAATCTCCCCCCTATTCAGGGAACGGAGCTCATGCAGAATTGAGTGGGAGTGGAAGTCCCGTTACTTAGTGCCTTCTTCATTGTCACCGTTAGATTTAGTCGGGATAAAGAAGAAATTCTTTCTTGGCGTGAAATTAGCTTTGCGAGCCCTATCTCCACGGGAGCCACTACTTCAGTTCCGAAAGCCAACACAAACAAAGTTACCCGAGTGGCTGTCCTGGCTGTGGTCAAACTAATGGTGCAGACTTATATGAGTGAATAGAATACGTGGGACCAACAGTGAAGTTAGGCTGCCAGCTTCGTAATGGCAGTGATGAAGTGTTTCTTAGAGGATAGGAGAATTTGCACAGTAGGAATATAGTGGTTCACCGGCTCTAGAGCTTGGCTAATCCACTCTCAAATGAAGGCTCTCACTCCTTTTCTTCTCTATTGATTATTTGAATGTAATACAAGACAGTGGGTAATCCAATTAGGGTTCTTTTTTTTGTTCTTTTTCTCGATGTGTTACATAGTATTTATAAGGTTGTCCCCTATTCCATGGGATTTCAGTCGAGATCTTTGCCCATTATTCATGGGATCCTCTTTGATTTTAGGAGAGAATCTTGATTGGTTGAGAGTTTCATGCATGGGGCCCAATTTCCGCAGTCATCCAGTTGTTTCCTAGTCGGTTCAGCTACGATCTCTCCAAGAGGAGCTCCATCCCAGGTTCTCTGAGTTCCTGGTGTCTGACCTGACCTCCTGACCTGAGCTTACAGTTAGGACTTGTTTGAGGTATCATCAATATTAATTCTAGTTTTCAACAGTTGAAGTTATCCTATCCTTTTTTTTTTTTCCTATCCTGTTGGTTCTTCAGAATCTGAACTTCAAACTGGTAAAGCCACAGCCTCGGATTTCAAGGACTGGACAAAAGGATTACATTCAGACAAGATTGAGTCTTTCAAAACAAACTCTAAGCCAATCGAAGATGGAATGGTAGGTCATAAATTTAGTAGCTATAGTAAAGAAACTGGATCAAAACATGTAAAAGTACAAACGAAAAATGTCCTAGCTGCTTCAAGTACAGATTCAGAAGAGATAGGAATATACAACCCTTTAAAGACTGGAGGTGATTTTTATGGAAACACGGATGACAAGGGGAAAAGACAGGGCAAACTTCCATGGCTGGAGCTCAATGACGGGAATAAAAAAGGCAGCCTAGTGCACGAGGCTCCCGCCACTGCACATGACTGGAATGCCCATAAGAAATTTAGCTTCCTGAGGGAAGAATTCCTGAAAAGCCGACTTCCCAATGTAGCAAAAGATGAAAATAACTCAGATGAGAATAGAGATGGGCTCAACTATCATTCTCCCAAGGATGGGCAATATTCAAACAGAGGCAGAAAGCCAGTTTCTATTAGGACTAGAAGAACACGTTGGCACTGAGTTATACAGAACAGAGATTACAGTTTTTATGTATGTAGTTGTTGCAAAGCTGAATACATTTCTTATTTGTTTCTCCATGTTAGAGCCACATGTAAATATGTCAATGCAAACTTGGTATAACATTTTCCTATGTACACGGAATAAGAAATATGGTATTTCCAACTGTTTGAAAACTTTAAGGTTAAACAATCACCTATTCTAAAAACTTACTTCATCTGTTCTTAAATATCTGTCGTTTAAAGTTTTTGCACAAGAATGAAGAAAGTTATTAAATAACTCTAGTATGAGTAAAAAATAATTACACAAGACTAAAATACCCTTATTCAATACGTATTAAGAAGGAAAAGAATATGAAAGACACTTAGTCTACACTTAATTTATTAAGCACTTACTAGAAAACAGAGATAAGGGTAAATTTGGAAGAAAAAATATTAATTATGTTTTGGTTTCATAAAACGACAGATATTGTGGAACAAAAAAAAATTAGGTAAAACGAAAGATATTTAGGAACGGAGGAAGTATATTTTAACATACCTCATCACAGTGCAAGCTGAATCTTGGGTTTAGCACGTGAAAATATTTTAATCATCAGAGTGGTATCGCGATTCGATATTAGACATCCTACTCAGATACTATGTTAAACAATCATCTACTTTAAAAACAAATTTTTACCATTTGAAGTCCAAACATATTGCAACAAGTGAAAAAAAAAATAATATTCACCAACATTTTTTTTCGCCTGATTACCTTTTCAATTTAACGGTGTTTCTGGAAATTCTGCACTTTGGGTCCAAGTTTGCTTTTAATGAAGAAACTTCATACCCTTTGGCTTGTCAACAAATTCTGGGACCATCTTTTTCCATTATTTAACATGAGGTGGCTTATCTGAAGAGACATTAAAAGTCATTTAAATAGTTCTAAATGAAATTGTCAACTTTTCCTTTAAAAGCAATGTCACAATTCTACAGGAATTATTACTTGGAGAAAGATTGATCATAGTAGCTATAAATTTTTTGGATGTTCCATGGCATTCCAACAATTAGTAAATAGCCTCCATTGGAACTCCTCCAAATTCTATCCATCCTTTTACTCTCCTGAGGTCTACAAGGACCGCTGTCGCGACAGAGCAAGTGTAATATCAACAGTAAATAAGTAGGCACTACTGGAAAGAGGGTTAAGTATTAAAAAATAAAGTTAATAAATTGTGTTGGCTAGGGTGGATCCATCTTCGGACTAGGGGGCATCCCCCCCCCCCCCCCCCCCCTTTGAATCATCTTTGTTGAGAACCCAAAAATATTATTTTATGTTACATTTGTCCTCCCTAAATTTTTGAAAATTTTCATGTATTTTTCCTCCAGTAAATTAGTAGTCCATTACCCCCTAAAATGAATGTTTTATTTTTTTAATTGAGTGAATCAGATGTAAATGTCATTATCTATTTATATAAACTGAAAAAAGACAATAATTCTTTTTTATCTAATACAATGTTTTCTACTTTTTAAAATCAATTGTATAGTTGTCATTTATCATTTTTCGGTTAGTTTGTAGTCTGTAACCCAATAAAACATTATTAGATGCAAAGAAAGCAGATTATAAACCAAAAGCATTTATGATATTTCACATATGCAATCTCAATAAAATCAAGAATAATCTCAACCAAGTTTTAAAACTATATAATAAATGATTTGACTATGGAGTCTGTGATTGTGAGCATTGGTAGGAAAATTGTAGAAAATCAGTGAGCAATCCACCTTACTAATCAATTATAAAATATTTAAGGGAATTGGTAGAAAACTAGTGAAATCTAGCTTACTAATCAATTATAAATATTTTAAGAATTTTACAGAACGTCTTATTTCAATCTCATATATGATTGAGTAAAAATATAATGAGAAAAAAATATTTTTTATCTTTTGTTCAGATTTTTTTAGGCGATATAAAAATTAATTTTCTATTTCAATAATTTTGTCTCAAATCTTATTTTGTGTTTTTCATTCTTGTACTCAATTTTTTTTATTACAACGTTCCTAATTTCGCCAATGTGTTATGCACGAGAGTATAAATAAACAACAAAACAAAATAGGTAAGCACACAACACATCTATAATAATAAAACAAAGTTGTCTATTTGAGATGTTTAAGCTACTCAGTTAAATAAGTTATCGTGGTTAAAAAAATAAAAAATTAAAGTTTAAATGAATTGTCGTGGTGAAAAGTTGCAACAAAGTACAATTACAAAAATTCATTATTAATCATAAAAATTAGAAAGAGTTTTTGAAAACAGAAATGACAAAATATCAGTTTACATGATTTTGTAAGCATAATGTTACTGTTTTAAATACAAATTAGGATACATGCGGAATTTAGAGGAATAAAGAAGAATATGGAACAGATATGAAAAATATGCAAAATATTCAATTTAAGAAAATAAACACTTACAACACTAGAACTAAAGGTCTAGTGGAAATAAGTGTTTATTTTCTTAAATTGAATATTTTGCATATTTTTCATATCTGTTCCATATTCTTCTTTATTCCTCTAAATTCCGCATGTATCCTAATTTGGTATCAGAGCCATTTGACGGCCTGGTGTATTATCTTTGAAATTTCATTTGAGTCATCTAACTCATCTAGAAATCTTTATCTGTTTCTTATTTTAAATTTATCTGTAAAGAACACTATACCCAACCTTAGTCCAGTCTATCAAGAGTACGTAAGCCGCACTTTATCCCGACCGTAAGTCCCGTGTGAGGCAAAGAGTGGATCGCTGGCGAGAAGTTGAGAGAAAACCAGGTTAAGGGGTATGTCTAGTGTTGTCTTTACATGTTAATTTAAAATTTGATAACAATTTAGATTTTAAAAATGAGTAGATTATTCAGATCTAATTCTAGAGCTAGTACATCTAGATCTTCAGATTATTCTATGCCACATAGAGTAAATGAGGAAGAATTAGAAGTAGAAGAAACTAGAACAGACTGGAAGAAATGGAATATTCCTCCAGTTAAAGAAAAAAATATTTATAGTACAACTTGGGTTCAGAAAACCTTTAGTGAAGAACACCAAGTAAAAACTGTTGAACAAGTTCATCCCTCAGAAAGGAAGATGAGCTTTGCGAGCTCCTCAGTAAGGAGACTCTTAAAATTCACAAGGCTAAAGGATATAATTTTATCCACATAGGTCTTGTCCAAGTGGCCATTAAGCCCCTTATTACCCAAGGCAGAAATGCTGCTGCCTTATTAGCACTAAGAGATGCGAGGTTTCTTGATTGGGAACCAAGTGTCTTGGGAATCATGGAGACAGGACTCCACCGAGGTCCAGTCTACTTTAACTGCTTCCCAGACTTTACCCTTGACCTCCATTGTCCTAATACACATATGGCACTAACTCTTGGTATCCGTCTCACAGGCGATATTACCAGGTTAGTACAAAATACTAGTTCCATAGTACTTATCTATAGGATTTATTACAAGTGTATTCGTACCAATTTAAATGTACAATGCCTTGACCCAAGTCCTAAAGGTAGTACCATGTTAATACAATCTAGTTCTGCACAGACTCACATCCAGGTTCCAAAGCAGCTACTTTGGAAAGATGTGACTTTACCAGAGTCATGGACTGTACAGAATGAGAATTTTGACAAGGAATCTAGTGCCGAGTCAACAACAACTGATCTGGAGACTATCAAACAGCTCCCTGACGGATCAGTAAAAATATCATTTGATACTGCCAGATCCACTAGATCTTGTAGATTCACTCCCAGGCAAGATCAGTTTTCTGAAGAAAGAAAATCTGATTTCTCATCTGTTTCCCATAGAGACAGAGAGATTGCCAAAGAACTTGACCATAGGTTGAAAGGAATCGCTAATTCCTCAGACCCAGTAGCTAGACCAGTGTACACTCCCATAAGTGTCCCATTAAAGTCTAGATACTCAGAGTTCAAACAAACAGAGAATGATGCTTTTACTCCATCACCTTCTCTGTCACCCACTGCTAGTGCCTTTGATGGAAATGAAGCCTCAAGCAAAGCCCATCAATTATACACTATCAATAGGGAAAAAGAATTTTTTATGCCTGATGTTTACAAGTTAAAAAAGAATTTCAAAACCCCTGAGAACAGACCTCTTAGGAAAGCTTTTGAATCTTTACCTTGTAAAACCCAGGAAACCATTAAAAAAGAATGGGTTAAATTAATGTATAAATTAGAATCCGAAATTGCTTTTGAAAACTACTTAAGTAACTTCCACAAAGAAGTAAAAGTAGTAACTCAGCAAAATTGGAAAACAGAATCTGCCGTGGTAACCGCTAGTCACCCACCAGCAGAAACTATTGAATTTAAATATCATAACAAAACTGTCACAGCTTCTCCCTTTAAGATTCCAGTCTTAGAATCTGAAAAGAAGATAGTTGAACAGGTCAATTTCACCAACCAAAGCCTAATCACTATAGGTAAACAGTTGGATAAAATTGAAAATAAAATTGATGAGATTAAACCTTCTTCCGTAGAAAGACCAATAGTTAACCTACCTGAAGAAAGAAAGAATTTAGGTTTAAAAGACAAAAACCTAATTCAACAGATTGATGCACTCTTATCTAGGAAAGAATCCACTAGTACTTCCCAGATAACAGTCATCAACCAAACTGAAGAAAGTTCAGAGTCTAATTCAGAATCTGATAGTCCAGAAGACACCCATGATTCTGACTCTGAAATAGAGAACTTAGAAAGTCAGTTTAGGGATCACAGTATGACCCAACCTGATTCTAAAATCAATGCACTGGTTAGAGTCCCTACCAGCTCCACAAAGAACTGGTATCCTAAACCTACTCCACCAGATCTTCAGTATGAAGAGAAAAATGTATTGAATCAATTTTCTGTTCAGTCTAACAGACTCTATGAATGGAACATAGATGGTCTAAGTGAACAGGAAATTATTAACAAAGTCAGTCATCTATCCATGGTTTTAAATAATTATATGACCAATCTAGATAGCCCTGAACCTGAGAT